GCCAGCCGTTCCTCGACCTCCCGTCTCGCAGATCTAATTTCCCGCTTCAACTTCCGCGTGATCCTCCTATATTCCTCATAGTCCGTGCTATCTCCCGTCCGCTTGTACGCATCCCATTTCCGCTTTTTATCCCTGATGAGAGCTTTGATTTTACCCGTAAACCAGACCGGTTGCCTGCCCGATTTTATGGATTTCTTGGGGATGCATTCCTCCATAAAGCCCTGCAATAACGTCTTGAACGCCCCCCACTGCTCCTCTACCGTCTGCCCACGTTGCATTTAAATACAAACACCCTGTATTTATATCTTGTATATCTTTATGTTATATATCCTTTTCTTCTGCCTTCTCACTGCAGCAATTGTTTTCCTTTTATGTTACATGTTGTTGAAGTGCTGTCATTCAGAATTTCTGTCAATCTTATTTGCATGAGATAATTCAGCTGAGTTATTTCAGGAACATTCATCCTGATCAAAATTAAGGCACTTAAGCCTTCACCAGGCTGTGTGAGATTACTTTTGTTCCCTATTAGAGTTTTTAGAATGAAATGCCTAAATCTACAAAAAAAATCAAATGAAGCTGCTTTTTCTGACTCACTGCAGTACTGGAAATGGGATTATATAAATGATGTTATAGGGAAAATCCTTTTTCCCTGAAGTAATGTAACTACTCCTCATGGTCTATAGAAAGTGTTCTTTTTTTTTAACACTAGATGGGAATGGTTAAATATTAAGTATATTCAGTTCCATAATAAAGCCATTACTTAATATTTTTGTTCATTATTTCGTAGATTAATAAGAAAAATAGGGGCAGTATATGAGACCTAATATTCAGAGTAAGTCCTTACCAGGATTATAGTCCAATAGAATCTTAACCTGAGGCCCAGTCTCTCCAGCAACCTGATGACCTGTACAGATTTTTAGAGATAGTAATGGTTGATTGACAGCTGTTATCTTTTGGGCAATATGAACATAGAAAGTGAGGAATAGATGTAGGTGGTTGCTAAGGCAGTCATGCATGAGATTCTTCCAAATACTTGTCACCATTGATTTAGGTAGATAAGAGGTTTGCCATTATTATTGTTTGTTCTAGAAAGATCAAGTATTCAAGTACCAATAACTTGGTCAAAATCTTACAATTGGCTTAATTGCAAAGCTTGTTTCATATGCTTAAAGATATTCTCTCCATATAAAGTATATAACCCACAGGAGTTTTACCCTTGCTGTGCCAGAGTCTATTAGATTGATGCAACCAATTTTATTTAAAAATCCCTGAGCCATAGATATGACCCTGAAAGTGTTAAAGTTTGAGAAGAAATACAATCAACTCTGGCAAAAGACATTTCTACCCCTTTTAGCACCACTTAAGAAGTTAAGACTAACTGTTACATAGTATACAGTGATCATCCCATGCCAGATGTTCATTGGTGGAGTCCCTTCAGCCATCAAGAACCTCTCCAAACAGCACTGAATATCTTTGATACTCTCTCCTGTGGAATGGCATTTTTGTGAGTGTGTTACAACCTTAGTGACATAACTGCACATATCATATAATAACTTAATTTATATATATGTGCATATCTACACAGGATGGGGGAAGTAATTTGAGTAAAGGTCATTGGAGCAGGGCTTTAAAAAAATTTGGTTCAGTGTAGAATGAGGACTGATAAAACTTAATGTGTTCATGAATGAAAAAGACCTCACTGGAATATAGCCATTGCTAATATCAGGTGGATGTGATCTGGCAGAGCTTGGTACAGCAGTTTGAGTGGGCTGGCTCAGCCACCCAGCAGTCTAAGCTTCTAAAAGAAGCATGCTTATTTTTGGCCACAGTGAGACTCTAACCCAAGGCTATAAGGATTCCCCATGCCTGAAGCTCTCCATGCCATGATAAACAAGACTCAAAGTCAGGGCTGAGACTTGTTTGGGAGTAAAAACCCCTCTCTTTGCCTCCTTAAATATGCATGTATCAGCAGTGCCAAATTTTTAATAGTTTCTCTGAGATGCAATTACTTTCTTATTGTTTAGGTGGCAAGAAGAAACCTTTGAAGCAGCCAAAGAAGGACAAGCAAGATCTTGATGAAGTGAGTGCTTTCCTTGAGTCTAGAATTCTCAATCTGCATAGATGCCTCTTTCTTCAATATCTTCAGCATCAGCAACATGAGATAGGCCTAGGATAAAGGATTCTGAGTGGGTGGTCATTTTGAGGATGTTTGTACCACACATTTCAGTTGTGTTGCACTTATTTGCAATTTATGCTTGTTCATTGTCAATGAAGAGTGAGTAAAAGAAAACTTGAAAATTTAGTTTCATGTTGCAATGGACTGTTCAACTTTGTGGGTGGCCAAACTGGTAGGAAATTTATATAGCTCCCAATTCCCTCCAAGCCATGTTTGTAAATAATTTTTTTTTTAACCACTGAAGAGGAGGGGTAATGCAATTTGAATATGCATGAGATATGTAACAGTTTCTCTGCCCTGGTAGATAAAGGTAAATTTCCTGAGCCAAACTCATTGTCTGTTTTGATTCATCTTGGTCAACAGAAGTTCCTGTATCATGATAGTGCCTGGAGTGTTACAGCTTTCCAGATCTTTGGGACCCATCCTTGGACACATGAATCAATGAGGAAGGATAGACTTCTATTAGTTAACCCTTTTGTGAGCAAATTCATTATGTGCAACCTTCCCATGCATAGGGAGGTTTGAACATTTTCTGGGAAGTATTCTTACTCATATCATTATCTACTGGTGACCAAGATAACTCCATGAAAATTTTACCCAGCTCCCATGAAATCTGTTGGGAATCCCTTTTGTAACATATATGTAAGCATATGACCTGTTCATATAACACTTCCAAGAAGCAAAGTATTTCATGATAATTACAGGACAAAATCTTGTAAGAAATACAACAAATTGTCCAGTACTTTCTTTTCCTCCTTTGAGACTATTTGTACAAGAAGTTGGCTCTTGGTAATGTATCTGTATACAGTGAAAACTCGTTAACTTGAACTTTTAGGGACCCGGCAAATCGTTTCAAGTTATCAGGAATTGCCCCTCTCCCCCCCCCCCCAAAAAAAGAACTCACGTTAAGGGACATAGGGGACAGAATGGCTTGGTGTGAGAGCGATAGATTGACAGAGCGAATGTTGGAGGCTTTTTTTTTATA